CAGAGCGGGAAGGATGATCCAAGTCCTGGGGGAGGAGGGAGGTGCAGACAGGGGTTCGGGGAGCAGAGAGACCCCAGCGCTTCTTCTCTGCATCCCCTCGGATGGGGGAAAAGTCCAGGGCACACGAGCTTCACCACGCTCGGGTGGACAACTTGGGCATCTCCTGCCCCACAACCAGCTTCTCAGTCTGGCTCCACAGCAGCCTCCTCCCCCCAAAAGGAGACCCTGCCCCATTAGCAGCCCCTCCCCACTCCCATCCCCGTTCCTAACAACCAAGCATCTGCTTCCTGTGGACTTGTGGATTTGCTGGTCCCTGTGGATTTGCTGGTTCTGTGGATTTCATATCAATGAAGCCTCACACTGTGCATCCTGGTGTGACTGTTTATTTCACCAAGCACGTCATCCTCGGGGTCCATCCGCATGGTAGCAGATGACAGAGCCTCACCCCTGTTCATGGCTGTGTAATATTCCACCTCATGGACATATCACATTCTGTTCATCCATTTATCTCTCCGTGGACACGTGGGTTGTTTCCACCTTTTGACTGTTGTGAATCATGCTGCCATGATCACTGGGGATATTAGCATCCCCACCGATCCACTTTCTGTCCCTGTAAATCTGGTCATTCTGCCCATTTCGCCTCAGTGGGGCCCCACGCTCTTGGTGTTTGGTGCCTGACCTCTCTCGCTCAGCACCATGTGCTCAAGGTCCATCCATGTCAAGGCGGCTGTCAGAGCTTTGTTCCTTCCCATCCATTCTTTCTCCAATTGGGATGGTTTATTACATTGAATAAAAATGTGATTTAGCAACACTTGATCTCAACAGTAAACTATTCCAGCCACCAACACTTGGTAAAATTCCACCTTGCCGAAAAGTTCATTATTTGTAAAGATAATGAATCATAGCGAAACCTATGATTACATTTTTAAAGTTTGTATCGTTTTCCCTCTTTTATGGTACTGGGGAGTGAACCCGGGGCCTTCACACTGAGCTATATCTCCAGGTCTTTTTTAATTTATTTATTTAGAGGCAGGGTCTCGCTGAGTCACTGAGTTGCTGAGGCTGGACTTGAACTTGGGGTCCTCCTGCCCCAGCCTCCCAGAGTGCTGGGGTGACGGGCGTGCACCCCCACACCTGACTTTAAATGCCTAACATGTTGAGTAAGAGCATCCCTTCTTTTTCTCAGAGAAGGCAAGAATCAGTAATAGAAGGCTTTAAAAAATGTTGAACATTTATCATTTCCAGGTGCAGGGAAGATTTGACCTCCAATTTTACTTATTTTTAAATATATTAGATTTGTGTGTGTGTGTGTGTGTGTGGTACTGGAGATCAAACATAGGACCTTCCCCTTGCAAGGCAGGGGCAATGCCACTGAGGTAAATCCTGGCCCTTTGAATATATTAGAGATGGCTGTAGAGTATGCTCATCTTAAACTACAGAAAACTGGAACAATTTCATCCTCTCCAAGTAAATTTTGATCATTGCTCTCCAACCTCAGACAAGCATGGACCAGCCCTGCCCTGATGTGACAGCACAGAAAGGGGAGCCCTGCACTTTACAGCCCTGCAACCGACAAGAGCAAAGGTCCCCAGACAGCCTCAGTGCCCCTCCGCAGAAGAAAGCAGAAAGAAAATGAGGTATAGATGCGTGGTGGAATATTATGCAGCCCTAAAGAAGGGTGGGATCATGTCATTCGCAGGAAAGTGCCTGGAATTGGAGACACAGAGGATTAATGATATGTTTCTCATCTATGAGAAACGGAAAACATAAAGAAAGTAAAACAAAGGAGGAGAGAAAAGGGCAGAATTTCTGACAATGGGGAAGGTGACTGGGGAGGGGTAAAAAGATCAGAAATAATCAAGACCTGTTATGTTAGTGCTGGTTTCCCTGAAACAAATATGACTGTTGTTAGGTACTGCACACACACACGGGCAAAGAAAAAGGGGAAGCAGACACTTGATGGTGGTCCCAGGACATAGGGGATGAGATCAAAGTCTGTGTGAAGACATCATCTGGTGTGTTCAGGGAGGAGGTGCCCTCGAACGGGAACCGCATAAGGGGGCCCAGCAAGGTCAGCCAAAGGTGGTACAGGAGGCAGAGGCAGGCTGGGCTTCCTCCAGGGTTATCCCAGGCTGTGGGCACTGGTGACCTACGTCTGTGTTCTGGGAAGAAAATGAGGTATTTCTACACGGTGGAGTACTAGTCTGCCATGAAGAAGGATAAACTTGAGTCATGTGTTGGAAAATGGATGCACCTTGAGAAGGTAGTGTTAAGTGAAAGAAATCAGGCACACGAGCTTCAGTATCACATGGTTTCCTTTATGTGAGAAACCCAAAGTACAAATAAAGAGCAAAATAAAATATAGATAATAGGAAATGGGGAGACTAATCTTTCTCAGATGGGAAGGGGATCAGGAGCTAGAGGAGGGGGAGGAAGAGTATTTAAAAAGAAATGAAGCTGCATTCTGTGAGTGCACAAACTCCACGGAAGGAGTGTGATCATTGGGCACCGCAAACGTGGACTCAGAAAAAGCTTTTTAAATACTAAAAATACAAATTCTACCTATTAAAAAAGAGAACTTGGATGATTCTCGAGGTTAATCAGTGGCAGCCTCTTTGTAGCCATGAGGACGAGGAACCACTTGTTCTCATGGATCACTCCTCCCTCCCTTGCTTTGGGCCAGCTGTGAGCTTGCAACCGGAAGCCAGGTGCAGCTCAACCCTGCTCCCCACAGTAAATAAAGACGAGGGGTCTTTTCTTCCTAGTGAAAGCCACGTGTGAAAGCCACCCTGGGTGGTGACCCTGGTTTACAAAGATTTGTGTGCATTTGAAAAAGAATGGGAAGTGGGATTCCTGGAACGGGAAGAGAGGGCGATTCCCTGGCCTTTCCTGGATTTTCAAAGGGGTCTGGAAGCTCCTAGGGCTCATTTGCAATTGCTCTTTTCCAGGCGAAAGTGGGCAGGGGAGCATTTGAAGCTGCCTCAAGGAGACCTGACGTTTATGGCGAGAAGGAATAACACAGCGGGTGTGTGTGTGAGTCTCTCTCTCTCTTTTCTCTCTCTCTCTCTCTCCTCAACAGCTCATCCACCCCTCCTGCCTCCCACAAGCTAAGGAAGCTGAGCTGAGATGGATTCCGTGGCCCATGGAGCCATCTAGCGGCCGACACGGACACCAGCCTGCCACCCTTCCCTGGTGGTCTGTGCATCGCCATGGCAACAAGAGTTTCCCACAAGGCTCTGGGCCTCCAGACAGCTATGCGCAGAGCACAGAAGCAGACCCTGCCTCGCTCCCCGGGGGACCCTGCGCAGTCCTGACCCCTGCTCCACCCTCCCTGCTCAGAAAGGGAATTAGCAGCCCAGATTTCCTGAGGTCAGATCAGCCCGACCCAAGCCCAAAGGGGCACAGGCGAGGGACAAATGTCATCCTAAAACCCAGGCCCTTCTCTGGTTCCTATCAGAGAGGCTCCAGTGTGCCCCGTGTTGATCAAGGTTTTCCCCATGCTGCTCTGTGTAGGCTGGCTTTGAACTTGGAACCTTTCTGCCTCAGCCTCCAAAGTAACCCCTCCTGGGATTAAAGTGTGCGCCACCAGGCCTGGCCTTATTGATTTTCGTTCTGTTCAGGTGGAACTATATTGGCTTCTATCCAGGTCACTAATACACTTGTCCTCTGAGGTTTCCATGAACTCATTGTTCTGCCAGAGGTGACAGGATCTCTTCTATCATGTCCGCTTTAATTGCTCTGTTTGGACTGAATTGTTTAACTCTTCTGCTATGCTCCTATTAATGTATACTCCACCATAGATGGAAGGGTGAATGGATGGATAGAATGAGATACTGAGATAAATACATGCTAAGTGATGGATAAATGCATAGACAAATTTCAATAATACCACCTTTAGCTGCACCGTCCTGGCTGCCTTGATGTCCCTTCCCGGTCATCCTGACCTTGGGGAGGAGCCAGGAGTCGCACTGTGCCAGCTGCGGTGACTCGGGTGGAGGAGGACACAGCATCGTGTGTTTGCGAGCTGCCTTTCCGCTGGACGGCGCCCGGCAGAGCAGTCACCATGTTTGTGATCACACCTGGTGAAGACCTCAGGAAAGAGGACCCCAGAGCTGCTGCGGGAAGTGGCCAGGACGGTGGGAGGAGGGTGTGCACAGCCGGGGAGGATTTTGAAAGGGGTTCATGGCCATGTATCTGTTACTGTACTGCATTTTTCTTAAATATTCACCATATATTCTGATTGCACTGCACATGCCTACACTAGGAGATAAGATGGTCCCAGAGTCATTTTCTAAAGAATACACAAGAGGAATAAGGGAGGGACCATCATCACCATATTGGGAAACCCCAAAAAGAGATAGGAAAGGAATTGCTAAAAATATGTGTAATCACTCCTTCTCCAAAGCATCTGATTTTCCTTTACCCACACAAGTCCTCTGCCCTCACCAGATGGCAAGGACCTGAGTCCTCTTGGTCACTTTGCCACCACCGAAATACTTCCACCGCTGACACCCACAGCTTAAAAGGACAGAGGTTTACTAGTCTCATGGTCTCAGAGAGTTCAGTCCACGGTCAGCTGCTCCAATGGTCTCAGGGGGTTCAGTCCATGGTCGGCTGCTCCAAGGCAGGAGCATCATGGTGGACAGGAGTGGAGGAGGAAAGATGCTCACATCATGGTGACCAGGAAGCAGAGAGAGAAGGGAGGAGCTGGGACAAGAACTCTCCCTTCCAGGTCACACCCCAGTGAGCTCCTCCAGCCAGGCCCCACCTCCTACAGCTCATTCACCAGGAGCTCATCCATGATGATCCACTGATGAGCACAGCACCCCCTGAGCCGTCACCTCCCAAACCTCAACCAAAGAAGAAGCCACGGGTTGAGGGCCATCAGCCACTATCCTCAGAAATACTCCCTCACCCCACCCCGAAAGACCAGGAGATACGGGAGACTTTTCTCTTTATTACAGCTGCTGTGTTTCCATGGTAGCTCAGACCCGGGGAAGTTACTTCCGGGCCAGCATGGCATCGTAAAAGCCCCCCGTTTTCTTCAGCTGGAAACCCCCGAAGCCGGCGGAAGACAGGCGCGCACAGCACTGGCTCGTGCTCCGCTCCCGGCCCTCCGTCTGCAGCAGCATGTTCAGGGAGAAGAGCAGGGTGCTGAGCGGCCCCTGCCTGTCCTCGTCCGGGACCCTTTCGATCGCCAGGACGCCGCCACCTGGGGGAAGAGGAGGTGAGCATGACACACGCCGCGTCCCCGTCCCGTGGACCCGGGGCTTCTGACCGCCCAGCCCCGGTGGAGCCCTGCCCACCTGGCCTGCACGTGCGGTGGACCCTCGCCAGCAGCGCTGAGCACTTGGGATCCGCCCAGTCCTGCGGGACCCTGGCCAGGATGTACAGATCGGCTTCGGGAAGAGGGTCCCGGAAGAAGTCTCCTGGAGCGGAACACAGGGGTCCCCAGACCCTGCTCAGCCTGGTGCATGGGACTGAGCCTGCTTCCCGCGTTAGAGGTCACCTTGCAAAGCCCTTCCATCCCTGGTCCTGCTGCCAGCAGCCGGCGGGCCCTGCAGTGAGAGCAGGGCTCAGAAGGCCTGCGGGGTCCGAACCCTGCAGCTCGTGATAAAATCACTGGGCTGGGCCGGCCCCGAGCACAGGGACCCCACAAGGTCCCCACCGGAAGCCAGGCCAGGCCTGTGTGAGCCAGCGCCCGCCCAGCCCGTACATGGCCTCCTGGTCATGTTTCCCTGACTGCAAACACCCCTGCGACCCTAGGCCCGGTGCTCCCCAAATACTGAGCACCGGCCTTCGAAACACTCCACCCACCGGGCTGAGAGGACAGGACAGACCCACACGTATAGGGTTGCACACGGTCTTCAGGTAAGTCAGGGATTTTGATCGCTGGCGGCTTTTTCTGTCCTCGCTTGTGATTTTTAAAAGCACTGCATAAGAATGTAGATGTGGTGGTGGGCACGTGCCGTCCAGCACTCTGGGAGGCAGGAGGATTCCAAGTTGAAGCCCCGCCTGGGCAACTTAGTGACTTAGCCAGACCCTGTCTCAAAATGAAAAATAAAGAGAGGCCGGGGCTGTAACTTCCTGTGAAGGCTCTGGGTTGCATCCCCGGGAATGAAAAAAAAACGCCATTTATTTTGGGAACCTGGATTTCAGGGCCCTTACAAATTGTGCCTGGAGGGCCAGGGATTTAGCTCAGTGGTGCCACTGTTGGCCTCGAAAGCGCAAGGTCCTGAGTTCGATCCCCAGTACCAAAAAATAAATAAATAAGTATATATATATATATATATATATATACAATTTTTTTTTGTATTTTTTTATAGTGCATGGAGCAAGATCAAAGTTGATTTCTTCATCTTAAATATGAGGATGGGGAAACCTGTTTCTGAGGGTTGGTGAAATTAAATGAACTAAGAAATTTCTATTTCTATACAGCTGGGGAAAAACAATATTTTTCTTCATGGGTTCAAAACCACTAAATGGGGCCCATATCACACCCAGTGTCCTCCTCCCACAAGAGAAGAAAAAAGAAGCACAGAACTTCAGTCTCTTCTCTCAGAGGAGGGACAGAGCACAACGGCCAGCAGGGTGTCCCTCCAGCAGGGTGTGTTCCTCCAGCAGGGTATTCCTCCAGCAGGGCGTGTTCCTCCAGCAGGGTGT